AAATAATTTTTGAAAACAATTGTATATTTATGTTTAATTATTATATACATATATAAATATATAATTATATATGATATATGTACATTTATGTTTAATAATTATGTTTAATTATTGTAACAAAATAATATTAACAAATTTTTAAAGAAGTACACGCGTACGCACATTTTGGGAAATTTCATTACTTTATTCGAGAGCGTTAATATATGTCACATCCAGACTCTACAAGAATGTCACGTATTATTATCCAAACATGAGTCATAAACCACATTTACATATTTTCCAATCACTTCACTTATCCTCATTTACAGTAACGAAAATTTATCGTTATCAGAAACGTGTCATTGAAATGTGGTAGGTGGTTGGCCGCATCGCATTTCGAGGCGACTTGGGCGCGACGAGCTTTTCCATGTTGGGATGAGCCGGCATTAAAAGCCACTTTCGATATCTCCATAAAACATCATCAAAATTACACAGCTTTATCAAATATGCCGATACGAGAACAATCGGATGACGACAACGAAGACGGCACAGTATGGACGCACTTTGACACGACTCCCATCATGTCAACTTATCTCGTGGCGTTTGTAGTGTCTGATTACGTTCGTGTTCCTAATGAAAATGAGACAGTCAACATGTGGTGCAGATCAAAATTGGCGCCGTACACAAAATTTGCACAAGAAGTTGCCGAAAAATCTGGACGACTATTGACAGAATATACCAATAGCACTGATAAAGTTCCGAAAATGGATCACGTAGCGGTCCCACAATTCACAGCTGGTGCCATGGAAAATTGGGGACTTATTATTTATGTGTAATATATATGTTTTAAGAAAAATGCCAATAGAATAACGCATGTCTGTATCAGTTCTCTTGCGTTACATAAATTGAAAATTCTTTTTACTTTTGCTAAATTATTATTGATTTTGCATATTTCGTGTTGAATATTATAACTTTATTATTTTTGATAATTATGATTATTACTTTGTTTTATTTTTTAAAATAACAAAACCATTTTTTTGTAAAAAAAGTAGTTTTCAAAATTTTTGATTATTTAAATAATTTGAGATTAAAATTAAGGTAAATATTCGGATTAACTTACATCTCACGGATCGTTTTCATTT